TTCCACTACAACACAACACAATGGAAGCATTGCCAGCCTCATCACATTCAAGTACACCCACATCATTAAAATTATCTACCTTGTCAACCGTCAAGCTCCATCCACCAACAACAGAAGAAGCACCTCCAACATCATAAGCCGCAACACCAACAAATCCAAATAACGTAAGCAAACAACAAAAAAGAACTATAAAATCAAGATTGTGGTATATCAAACACAAACTTACACAAAAATAAACCCGTTTAATTTCCAAAAATATCATCATTAATTATAATTCATCATTTATTATTAAAAAAATCAATACAGATTACATTTCACAAAACTAACCATATTCAATCATAAAACTTTATTTATTTATTTATTAAACAAGCCTTACATATAAAGTACAATTATGTATAATTAAAATTTTTACTCACCTTTCAAATATTCTCATTATATACTTACTTAAAAAACTTTAAATACACATACAATCTTTTTTAAATATAACACAGTAATTCAAGTATCATTTCAAATTATATAAATTACAATATACTCTAAACACATTCTAAACTTTCTCAATTATATCTTAATTACTTATGTTCACAAAATAAATATTCAAATCATGTAAGAACTTAGTACATCAATAATAATGTCATGTATAATATGTCTATAATCTAACAATATTACTGTAATTTTTTGTCAACACAATACTTATAATTTTTATTCTAATATGTTAATATATTTTTCTTCTTTTAAACTATGTCACCTCATACATATATTGTATAATGCCAAGTGCACTATGAGGGCATAGTGCAAAATCGAATTCCGTGCAATTTGTAATATATTATACTTCTGCCTATTATATCAATAAATACATGAAATATAATTTGGAACCAATAACGATCATACACCGGTGTATTAAACTAAAAAGGTAACTTAAATTATAAAATAAATTATTTAACATCAAACTCAATATATAAAACTTAAATCAACATCAATTCAGACCACCCAGAAGTAACGCGATTTTTTCATACCGCAGAATATCACAAAAAATTCAAAAGACAACACCCAAAAATAATAATCACACACGAACGCAGATTATCAGAACAAAATCTATAAATATTAATATCATAACCATTCATATGCACTACAATCAACGCAATTATGCCCACGTATCGAAACATACAATACCTACTATCAGACTAAGAGAATTATTAAACCCGTCAAAATCAAATATACAATGAACAACGATTATGGTACCGGGCACATGGTGAAAAACCAAATAATGAAATCAGCAGCCATATATCCTATAACAGAGAAAAAACTGATTACACTATACACCCACATCTCCGCGAATATCAGAGAAATAATACAAATATGCACCACATTACACAACCGTCTACAACAACAGACCATTAAAATAACTGCACATTTCAAACTAAGCAATCGGTATTCCACATGAGAGTACAAGTCGTAACACTAAAAAGAAGCAATCGATTCAAAACTTAAAATGTTAACTTACGAACCTACTTGATTACAACCACCCTACACTTCTCACACTTCTTGCCGTACATGAATTCATACCGAATCTAACAATCTTATGCCAACCAATAAATCGTCAGAAGCAAACACTCATCAATAAACAAATCATTAAGAATAAAAGTTAAAAGAATAAGTGACAAGTACAATCAAGCACAAACAATGTATGCATGCCTCAGCAAAGATGTACAATAATAATCATTCAGCAATAGTCAATACGCAAATTTCATTACGATCACGGAGGACGCATACCAATGCGTAAAACGCGGGACCAGGCCGCCAGAACGCTGCACGCCACGCACCCAGTTATCTAAGAGAGGGACGGAACCGGTTATATATAAGCCGCGCAGCCCTCTACACAGCCATATAGAGCTCTACCAGAACCGGACCAGCACGCAAGACCGACGCCATTCAACATCGAACATACGCATAAGATTTTTAGGTATATCTTTTTCAAATAAATAATTTTCCGTCGTTCGCTATTTAATAGATTTAAAAAAATCAAATTTAAATATTACATCCACGTATGGTCGTATTGGTTCAGGATCTATATTCTATAATAGTTTAAAACAAAACAATTTTTTTAGTTTCATTATTCATACCGTGTTTATACAGCTCAAAATTGTATCCATCTTATGTATCTGATTTATGATTTATTTATAATACAGCACTAATAGAGTCTATCTCTCGTTACTGTAATACGTGTGTGAGGGAACTCTTTGAAGTATTTGCATTCTAAATTAATCATAAAGAAAGAAACATACTCAACTATATCCTGAGTATCGAACTTATAATATAGTTATAATACAGTACTAATAGAACCTTTCGCTCGACACTATTCGAAAGAAAACGTGTGTGAGTTAGTTCTTCGAGGTATCTGTGTTCTGAACATATTATAACGTTCACAAACTTTACAAACTTCCTAAAATTGCATCCACAACTATTAAACATTATACGAGTGTTCTACAAATAAATACTGAGATATTGTATACATCAAAGAAAGTCAAGTCATTGCAAACAAACACTGAGGTGTTGGACAAAAAGAGAATCAATAAACTATAATAGAATACACTCGATAGTACAACAAAATACATAATGAAGTGAAACATACTTGGTTATTTAAAATATTGCAATAATAGGTGCGCATCGAAACACGGTCAACAAAAGAACATCAACGACACCCCGATCGAGAATAACGTCGTCACTGCGATAAAGGTAAGTGAAACCATATTCATAATTATCTAAGTCAAAACGTAACCCCACATTCTTTCATGAATTATAACCATATCTAGCAGTGGAATAAAATTTTTTACAAATATACACCAACTTTCCAATATTTCAATAAACTACCTACATTTTAATCTTTATTTTTATAATTTTATTTTTTCTATCACAAAAAAATGCAATTAGAATAATAAAGCTTAATTTAATATAAAATCTATGGTAAAAAAATCTAAAATAATTTAAAAAAATATTAATTAAAATCAATATTCAAAAAATATAGAATTTACAATTTTTATATCTTAAAAAAAATTACTCGGACGTTCTTTGCAGATTCGTTTGGTTTCTAAATAAAAAAAATAGTAAAAAAAGTTTTTGGACGATACGACAAAGTCTAGTGTTCTGTCGCGGTTTAATAGATATGACGTTTGGCACAATATCTTAGATTGAGTATACTTATTACAGTTATCATTGAAATCAATATTGACACGAACGCGTCAAATATATTACGACCTGTTGATTCTGGACCAAAAATATTGTACTTGTGTGGTAATAAATTGTTTATGCCGATCAGTTCTCTGGACTATAGTATAGCTGGGCTATACACGAATAAATACATAATTAATATTATTACATTTCATATAGTTTGGGCCAAACTGAACAATTAGTTATTATTATTTATTATTTAATGAATCAAAGTATTCGAAATATACACAATACACGTCATAGGTACACGAAGTTTTTATACATTATTAAAGTTAACACAAATACAATTATCAGTAAAATATAAATTTTTATTTATTTTTATTTATATTTTATTAAATGAAAATCCGCGGAAAACTATGTGTTATTTCAATCGTATATAATTCATATCAAGCATCTCAAATAAATTATATGAATCTAAAATTAACCGTACAATTTATCAATCTCTAGAGTCTAGGTAGTACTATTATAGTGATGTGCCTGCATCAATACAATAACCATTATTTTAATAACCATTATCCATTAGTACTTAATTTCAAACGAAAATCTTGAAACACGCCGAAACAGGATTAATCCTATAATGTTGAATACGTGTAATTCAACCTATATAAAAATTGAACTTAAATATATCAACAAATATAATTAAAAAAGAAACTTTTTTGTGAGCACAATGTGATAATTATCTATACACAATAATAAATACGTTAAGCGTAGTTTACACGATGCTAGTTTACTAGCGACTAGTAAGCTAGTTCACTATCTAATAGTAAAAAAGCATTGTCTAGTTGAGTGTGCTAGTAAACCATCAAACTATTTTGATACTAAACTAGTTTGAGAGTTAAGTTAAAATATTTCAACTTTTCGGGTTACTTTTCAAATTTACTGGAATATTTATTTCCTTTCCATACAACAAGGTATATGGCTGATAATTTGTGGATGAGTGTTCTGTTGAATTATAAACGAATAGTGCATAAGGTAATAATTTATCCCAGGTGTTTAAATCTTTGTCTACGTAATGCCTAAGATATTCGGCTAAAGTTCTGTGTGATCTTTCCAATCCACCATTGGTTTGTGGATGATACGGGCTAGTATTTATCTTATTAATTTTTAAAAGTTTGCATACCTCGGTGAATGTTTTACTTAGAAAATCTGTCCCTTGATCAGTTAATATGGTCTCTGGCATTCCATGGATACAAACAAAATGTACCACAAAAGCTTCAGCGACAGTGTTGGCTGTGTGATTTGGTAATGGTACTCCCAATGAAAATTTGGTTAAATCATCCTGCATTGTTAAAATATAGGTATTTCCAAAAACAGTAGTTACTAATGGTCCTACTATGTCTAGAAATATTTTTTCGAATGGCTTTGAACTTGTGGTGGTTATAACCATGGGTTGTTTAACTTTCCTATTCGTGACTTTGTTCTTTTGGCAGGACTCACATTTCTTAATGTAATCCTTAACATCAGACTTGAGCCCTGGCCAATTAAACTGACGTTTTATTTTCCTAATTGTTTTATTTATTCCTGCATGTCCTCCAAGTACTGAGTCATGGAATTGTTTGAATATAATCAACTTTTCTGCCTCTGTATACTCCATCTTTGAACAAATTAATATTTCTATTCGAGTGTTTCTAAATATGTATCTAATCATGGCTCTGACTTTTTCCCATTCTAACCCGTCCTGTCTACCTAACTGTTTCATTATAAGCTTATTTAGAGAATGTTTTTCGCATAAATATTTTAGATTTAATAGAGCTGTATATAGATTTTCGTACGTAGTGATCTGTTTAGCTTTACTTTTGGTTACTAAGAATATTATATACCTATCCTCGTGTTTGACTTTTGTCACTTCGCCTACTTGTTTGTTTGATTTCAAGATAACAGTATCCCCGAATTTCTGCTTTATTTCGTAATT